AATCTGCTCCTCCTTCTTTGTTCTAAAATTTCCTATTATGATGTTTAATGATGTTGCATAGATATTTTGTGCAATACATTCGCGTCGCATTATTTACACGGAAGCAGTGTTACCAACATGCAATAAGTTGGAATTATATTACACAGTATTCTTATTTTGTCCGTCCAAGAACAGTGTGGACAGAAGAGGGAATTTCTTTTCAGATGAAATCAAATACAGACGCCGAGGAAGGAAAGGTTTATTAGTTTTGTCAAAACGTTTGCAACGCTCAGAAGGGAGCTTCAGGCTAGGCCACATAAAGTGTATATATTCTTGATGAGCATCAAATTCTGAATCGATTCAAGTACATTCGCCTGTGCAATGTCTGTTATAGCCATTCTCCTGGACTTTCTTCAAATTTGGCAAAAACTTGAAATTGAAAATGGCCAAAAGCAGTTGAAGGACACGAAGGCACATACGATACCACGCTTTTTAAAAGAAATCAAAAAATTGTTTTTCGCTTATTGCTCATTAACTTCAGCTGCTGTAGTATCTGTAAAAAGATGGTAAAAATTGACCGCGCCTCTCCCATATCATAATGTATCAAATTTTCTCGATAAAAATATATATGCACTGTACACGTGCCATAGTAAAGCACCGAAAATTCGAACACATTAAATATTTATTTATTTATTTTTTTTAATATGTCTCAACACGAAATTCATCGAATCAGTTGGGGAAGAAAAGGTGAAAGTTGTTGCATAAATGCTTTATATAGTTAGAATAAATATTATATGTAAATTTACCTACAATCGGTTCAACAATACTGAATTTATCCTACAGCACCATCTATTAACACCTACTGACATTTTGTAGCGCTCTTGATACAAAATAAATATTACTCATGCGTTTCATTTTATGCATCTGAATGATTTCATTGCTTTGCAGTGATACATGTACATGCCAACATTCATTTTTATATCTATAGATATATATTCCGATCAGCGTTGAATTTAAATCAAATTTATCTTGGGATTATGCCGAAGGCGCATATAAATCTTTCTATTTACTGAATATTAAAGTTGTAATGATTGTTATATCCACTACTGAAGAAAGAGGCTTCAGAGACATCTATAAAGTATATATATAGTCTTGATCGATTAAGTCATGTGTATCCGTCTGTGGCTACGTGTGATGTGTGTTGTTAACACTCTCCTAGTTGCAAGAGTCAAGATATCGTCTTGAAATGTGGTGGAAACATTGAAAATTTCTGTACGCATCTTCGTATTGAAAGTGGGACAAATTGGTCTAAGCCCACGCCCGCAGTATTTTGCGGAAAACTCTACTATTCATGTGCAAAGATTGAATAAATCGTCCATACGCAGATAACGTTCCTCTTTTTACGTTTATTAATCGCAAGGCAAACAAAATGTTTTGTACATTGATCAAATGGAGATACATTATCTGCCTAAAAATGGGTTAATTCTAAAATAACTACGGTGGACACCTTGTAATATTTCCTTAATAATACCATGGACTTGGAAAATTGGAGAACTTGGAGTTAAGCGGAATGCGGTAAGCTAAGTGTGTTAGTTCCAAATTAAATACCGCGGATGTCACGAGGTAGTGAAATAATTTTTTGATCACAATACCTTCGATATATAGAAAAGACTTGGAGAAATGCATGCGGAAAGGTGAGTGTGTTATTTCTGAATTAATTATGGTGGACGTGACGACCTTTTCACGAACTAAAATCGGAAAAATAAAATCTATCCCACTCACTATTTTACGACCATAAATAAAGGCATGGAACATTAAATATTTTAATGGGGATACGACATACGATATACGCAATGCCGAATGTAATTTTTTTATTTGGTTTTAGTATACACGAACTATTTATTATTCGCTATTAACTAAAACTGTCGCCGAATCAGCATCACGAGCAGAGATTGCAGACGATTCGAATATCTTTGATCAGAAAGAAATTCCACTGCGATTTATTACTTGTCTGTCTCGCTGTCTATATTGTTTTTTTTTTTTTTTTCTTGTTGGCATTTTTTTCAAGGCTTTACAAATTGATATAGAAAGAAGTTGATATTTGGCGTAGGTTTTCCTTTAATTTCACAGACTAAGTACGAAAAACCCTAAAATCCACTAAAAATTTCCCATTGGCTGTTCAGTTATTTTCAACCGAACTTTGTAGAAAATGAGTGCGGTTTAAAGTTGGGGATCAAAGGCCTTGATGAACTTGAAGTGAGAAATATGAGTTTTTTTTATTATTTATATTATAGGTATAAGCAACTTCTTAGTCTTTGAAAAGCTTAAAGTGTTAATAGAAGAATCTCTTCTAACAGCAGTAAATAATTATATAAAAGTGTAATCGAATAAAAAGGGATGCAAATGTGGTCTGCAATGAATACAGGACGTCTCGTAATTGCCTGAAAGTAGCTATCAAAAGTTCAAAGATGTACGTTTGCAATTTTTAAAAACTTTTCTGAAATGCTGCGCCAATAAAGTTCTCTCGTAAGCGTTAACAGTTTGCTTAGTTGTGATGATAAAAATAAAGTGCAATACATTAAATTGAATTTCTATATACTTTTGTTATAAGCAATGGATATCCACTAGCCATAGTATCCACAGGATTCTTTATTTATTCTTTCATTCTTTCATTTTAAAGAATTAAGCCAAAGTTTTAATAGCCGTATACTTTAAGAAAATTTCTGTTACTCTTTGTTTTTATTATTATTATTATTATTATTATTATTAATATTATTTATTTTTTTTGTTTTTGTTTTTCTTTAACACTGAACTTTTCTTTTAAAGAAGAAAAGTAAGAAAATATTAAATTAACATTCTGTCTTATGTATAAACCATGTCTATCCATGAATTTTCCATTATTCAAAAACCGATAAATGAATTGAATATCGAGCAACAATTATTATGTGTGCATAAGAAATTTCTATAGGGCGAATTGTGATAGTGTTTGTAAAACTAAGCCCGTATAAATACTTCTGTTCATCTTTTATGTGGTGTGTTATCAAACAAATGCATCCGGTCGTAAGCAGGCATGTTGCACGCAACAACACCAACACGAACACTAACAGCAATTATACGTTAACAGGGATGACGTAGTAAGTACAGTTATAATTTTACTTGTCAAGTACGTGTTATATGCGGAAAGTTCTCTGCAATGCATCGTCTGTCGTTATATATCATGGATACAAATATATTAACTTAATTTGCTCATTTCAACCGTTACATAACACGTACAATAAAATGTAATACCCAAGAAAGGCCGACTAATAAATAAATATTTTTCACCATTTTCTCTAGTACAATTTTCATATATATTTTCCCGCTGTGTCTTGTAGAAGGTCGCCCTTCATGAGAAACCTTTTATGGGAGGTAATCCCAAAATCCCAAATTTACATTAACGGGATCATTGAGAACGGCATGTTCCATCACGAAACAGTAAACGTTAGAGTTTGTTGGCAAAGAGTTTTGTGTTTTTGTAACACCGCGTATATCGGAAGGAGTTCACACTGTGGTCCTATTACATCCAAATTTCCCACATACATATTATGTCTTACAAATTTTTGTTTTCGTTTTATTCTGTCCTTTCGTAAAAACGATTAACGTAAGTAGTAAATCGAAAAATGATTTGATCAAAACCACCTTTAATCGGATTGATCACTAGGGATGTGATTTCATCAGAATTTCTATAAGTTTAACACAAAGTTCACAAACTGCAATTGTGTGTGTGTGTGTGTGTGTGTGTGTGTGTGTGTGTGTGTAGTAGTAGTAGACATAACTAGGTAGAATTTGACTTTGAAAAAGTAAGCGTTGACAGTGAATTAGGCACATAAGCGAACAATGCTTAATATCAAGTAAAAGACATTTTGCTGTAAGCTAAGCGAATTTCATTCATTGTAGATGAATAAAAGTTTACCGAAAACTTCGTATAAAGTTGTAAAATGTTCAGGTTCTCGTAATATTTTGTTAGTACAATATCTGCACATGAATAAACCTGACCTTGGAATGATTTCAATTCAATTTCTTTACAAAAAAAGATTAATTTTCCTCGACCATATGAACTGGCCTGGCCGGCTTCAATTAGCTTTGATTGTTCGTAATTTTTAAAAACTAATATTTGCTCATTTAAAAAGTGCAAGGGCAGGCTGGCATAAGTTAACTCAGAAGTTTGCAGCATTTTAAAGTACTTTAGTGTTATTTAAGAAAATGCAGTTAAGTTCGATTAGGCGGAAAAAAATGTATCCTTTGTGATGGAAAAGTACACTTTTAGATGCCGTAAAGTACGAAATATCAAAAATTTCATTTCACACTGTTGATAGTTTACTAACATATTTATCCCTGATGCTGACTACGTAGAGTGATGACGATGATGACGATGATATTAATACTGTCTGAGGATGAGAACTCAAACGAGCACAAACATAAGCAGATACAAACAAAAAAAAAAAAAAAAAAAAAAGAAAGGAGAGAAAATGCAATCAGAATCATATGAAAGTATAAACTATATAAAGTATATGAACACGAGCACATTCGCTGTTTTGGATGGAGATCTGATGCACACAACATTCAGTTTCAGATGTTCGCAGTTGGTCGTTGTGGTCGGTTGTATATTGTATGTGGGCGCTCTTTTTGAAAATAAAACTCAAATAAAAAAGATAAATAAATTAATTTAAATATTTTATGTTACTTTTTGTGTTGAGAATAATTTTTAATCACACCAGTAAATTACAATAAGATCAGCATATATATATAATGATAAGTGACATCACTAAAATATTTAAATAATGAAATAAAACAGAAAAAAAAGCAAAAAAAAAAAACAAAAAAAAAACAAAAAAAAATAATATCAAAATAATACAAAAAAAATTTTTTTAAAATTAAATATTAGAAAATTTTTTTTTTTTTTTTTTCTTTTTTTTTTTTATCAGTAGAAGTTTCATATTTATAACGTATCATCAATTTGAAAAGTAATGAATAAAAAGCAGAAAAGAAAAGAAAAAAAAATCAAAAAAAAAAATTCATATCAGCTAAAAGTTTTTAAAGCGAAACTAGTAAGCAAATTATTAGGGTAAACGGAAGTAAAACATTTCTTAAAATAGAGAATCGAGTACGACTTTCATTATACAATAAACTATAGCGGAGATTATATTACATTTTTCGGCTGAACTTTTTCCAAACTTAATATATATATATATATATATTTTCTTACGTAACAATATAATGCAGCTTATCCTAAAGAAGATTAGTTCAGATTATTTAGCAGCTAGAATTAGGTTAGATAACTTAGAGCTTAACTAAATTCCAAAATAGATCTAGTACAGCAATATAAAGATGCAAGCAATTTTAGCATTTAAGTAATTAAATGCCGAAGGCAACGATAATTACGGCTTCCAATGTTTGATGAATACAAGAGACAAAATTTAATTTGCCGATTTTTTCTTTATAAAATTGTACACGAGTGCGTGGAAAAGAATTCAATTGAATTTATTTCCTTTTTGCAAATGCGACAGAGCTTCTCCTTCAACCTAATATATTTGTCTTAGAGTGAATCTTCTTCCGTTATGTTGGATAAGTACATCTTGTAAATTAAAACTATAGCATGTCTAGTATGAAAGATACGTACGAAGCGTATGTGAATCGTTTTGTCTCAGATGACCAGTAACCAGATCGGATCGCATTTACTATCACAATCATTTAAATCTTTTTAAAAAGAAGCTGAAATCTTAAGTAATTATATCGTTAGCTAATCGCTTATCTACAATAGTCACAACAACAATAACAACGTAATCAGAAACCAACTTAACTAAATCACAACTGAGCCAATATTATGTACTCCAGTCCCCTAGCCATACTTAGCATTGACAGTTACCAATGACCTATGATAATAAATATGCTTTTAAAATTCGTAGCTCTTGTAGTTGAGAAATGAAAAAAAAAAAATATCCAAAAATTTCAAAGAACGCCTTTAGTCGTTGATTTAAAATCATACAAAACGGTTTTTATTTTTTAATTTTCCCTCCCCAGTGTAGTACCTTAGCAGTAAATTATGAAATTTGAAATTTTTTTGCCCAAAAATAATAACCGAATTATACACGTTTTCGTATCGTTAAGCCGCAATTAAAAAGAATTAAATTTTCATGCTAAGAAATTTCGAAAAAATAAAACGCCAAACGTTGTTATTTTCAATTAGAAAAGTATTGCAAGCGTGCAGCGGTGTGCAGATGTGTGTGCGTGCAAGTGTGTTTATAAAATCTTAAAGATTAACTCATCAACGAAAAAATAAATATAAAATTCAAAACTAAACACACCCAGGTTGAGAGTACAAACCCAACGAGTTGCACTAACAACGCATACGTGCCCGCAAAACTTAATTTCTTGACAAAAAAAAAAAAAAAAAAAAAAAAAAACAAAAAAAAAAACAAAAGAAAAACAAAAAACTTTTGCAGAAATGCTTTAAGAAAGTAAAAAAAAAAAAAAAACAAGTATTTGTCCGCACATTCACCACACACCCACACTCCTACTCATACACATAAACACGTAGAATTCTACGTGTTATAACACGACATTTTGTTTCGCATTTAAAAAGGATCTCGAGAATAACTGAAGAAAATGTTTAGGTTAATAACGTCGAACATTTTGATTGAGTTGATGCTATTATTTTCGATAGTGATTGCACCAACTTTTGGGTTCTATTGCCCAACGAGCTGTAATTGCTTTCAGCGTACGGTACGATGTATCCGGGCACGTTTAACCAGTATACCTAAATTACCCCAAGATGCAAACGTTGTGTAAGTATTGTACAATGCATGCACATCTTATGATTAACTGTATGCCACATGAACTCTATTTAGGTTAAGACAATCTTTACGTTTCGCTATTAAATCGTTTTACTCGCTTAAACAACGATTATCTATCTATCTATTCTTGCATTTATAATAAAATTGAATAAATATTAAATAAGCCAGTGATTTCCAAATTTGTTCTTACAAAATTGATATCTTTACAATTTTTCAAGTGACTGGTGAATCACCCGTGACTGCTAAACTTTTTTTTTGCAATTTTCTTTAAGAAGCGCCCAGCGTTTACTTTGAAGTCTCATCATCTATCTCTTTCTCTTTCTCTCTCTCTCTCTCTCTCTCTCTCTCTCTCTCTGACATGCAATCACAATTTGCTTATCTAGGCCAAGTATTTGATTTCCGATAGTTAACTTAATTGAGATTAATAAGAGAGAAATTTCTTACTCGTTTATGAAATTCAAAGGAATAACAGGACTTAAAGGAAGCTATATTTTCTTCAAGATTAACACTACACATCCATCACTATGCGTATTTGCAGACTGGCTTCATATCAATACCTCTTATAGGTTATAACTTACAATTTCTTATCTCTGGTACCTTTCGGTTGTATACAGATCATGCCAGATTATTCTGATGAATTGCAATTTAATATATGCTATGGATTGCAACGTAAAATGTTTTAATTGCTGACACAATTCCCATTTGCGAAATTTCAAACCATTTGTGGCCAATAAGTGAGATAGTATAGGCCAAATATTGGGCATTTCGATCAACTTTTACAGCTGATAATATTCTAATATGGGGTGACAAATAGTAAGTTGGAGGAGGAGTAGAAAGATCAACTGATATATAGGATTAAATTGTCTGCATAACGTTCACTGTTCGTACTTAAGCGATTCTCCGATCGATATTTCTGCCTTTTGTGAGCATCTTCATCCGTATCGTTCGCATAGCTTGGATATAAATATCGGCCAGCATTCAAGTATAAAAAGGAATTATATTCATGTTGTCCAGTAGCAAGCGTCAGTAGTTGAAAAAAAGCGAATAAATACTCGATCTGCGCACAACTCTGAGATGAATCTGTTTTATGTCCGTCCGACCGTCCGCTTTGAAAATTCTTCCAACTGCAAAAATTAAAGGAAAGAATTAACGTTGCATACATACGCTTTTGGTAGATGGTTACACGCATACAAACACGCGCGCGCGCGCACATCAATGTTGTTATTGAGCGGGATCCGTCCACAGTCAAGCCCAAAACTTGTGACATCACAGCAAATATCGCGTTAAAGTGAAAACAGGATTGCGGGCCGCCGCCCACCATTGAGTACCATACACTACCCTACAATTATTCTTATAAAGATATCTTAAAATAACACGGTTTATGTGGAAGTGATCGCAAAAGTGGTTCGCTCCAAATCATTTTCACTCCTCCTTCTTCGGCCAAAACATGTCAGCGTATCAAATTTCATATCTCAAAAATCGTGACTTGTGGCCTGAAGGCAAAAATACAACATGGACAGGCGGGTAGACGAACAGAGCTTGACAGACACACTTAGAATCATTTTCTAAATCAATCGGTATGTAATAGAAGATGGAACAATCCCAAATTCTTCTATGTGTTACATACATCCGCACAAATAATATATTCTTGTATCACAAGCGTTGTAAGGTATAATTAGTCATATCATGCCGAAATGCTTTATACTTATGATTTCGATGATACAGGCACGAAAAACACTCCTTCAAGACACGAGTGCAACTTTGATTTCCTAAATTTCTTTCTTATTTTAAATGATTGAAACGCTATTTAATAACATAAAGTAACATTGGTGTGGAATGGTAAGTGAAAATAAAAGGGAAAAAATTTCCCACATGTTTTTGGAAAAGTAAAAAAGGGAAGAAAAACATTCTTATAATAAATTTTATACTTTTCATTACGGAAGAATTACATTTCCTGTGAAAAAGTAAAAAAAAAAACATTCCTTTCGTTTCACTTTTTTGCAGGCTAAGTAATAATTGCTCAAGTATTTATTTTACTAAATCATTATAATTAACTGAAAATTATTGTTTTCATTGCGATAATTGTGTTCAAACATAAAAATTTATTGCAACCCTTTTAATCGTTGTACCCAATACCAGTAGTGGTGAGGTTACACATATTAAATTTGTACGCAAGTTTTTAACACTTAAAATGACTTGAAACTGAGAACTATTTTCGCAATCGATTAAAGCATGTGAGGACTCAAAGTCGTCCCTCGTTTTGGTCTCGCGGATTCTCCGTCTCTGGCGGAGAGAGGGAGAGATAGCTTAAGTTAGCATAGGAATAGGATAGACATAGAATAAGAATAGAATAAGAATAGGATAAGCATAGAATAAGAATAGGGTTAGGAATACAATAAGAATAGGTTAAGGCGAGGGTAGAGTAGAATAAGTGAGTCGTAATTTAAGGTAGTCGAGCTTCGACGCTCGATGGAGAGAGTCTTATTTTAGTCATCGTTGAGTTTAGTTGGAAATCGGATAAGAAGAGCGAAATACAAAACCGACCAATAAAGGTCTCTGTAACAAATAAATGTTCTTGTGTTTTCCCTGGGCCGCTGAGCTACCCCAGCCCCGGATTATGGCCCCGGAAAAGGCTTCATAAGCATGTCTATTTGTCTGTAGACGTAGCATCTAGGCAAAGATATTTTCCGATGCAACTTCATCTCTTCATTCGGTTTTTTTAAGTTCCAACACTCAACCTATAAGAGTTAAATGTCTCGTGAAAAGCCTCATCAAACAACCAAAGAAGTGTGCAAAGGTATTGTATTAGTGTGACACAACAAATCAAGAGCTGTCTTCCCATCGTGGATAGTGAATGGCGAACAAATTCACACGAACGCCGAATAATGTTCGAATAATATCATTTGTTAACAGTTTGATCCGGCAATAAATATTCTACTCTTTGTACTTGTCAGTCATAAAATAAGGAAGAAACTATAATCGGTCCGAATCTATTAATATCTACTATTAGCCTATAGAAGGAAGATAGAGTGAAAATGCATTAAAGAAAGCAAGTAAGATTGCTAGGTTTTTACTAACTGTCGGTTCCTTTAATTAATTTTCGAAGCTAACTAAGTTTTCACGTTGTAAACATGATTCCATCAACAGCCTCTTGCTTTATTCCATTATTGATGTTGATAGAGCATATATACACTTATCGCGTTTCTATGAATTTACAAATTATTGTTAAATCTAATATACTCCATGCGCTGAACACGAGAAGGAAGCGTTTCTTAGTTAAATATTTACTAACGATACTAACGAAGAAATTCTTCATTTGCATTACAAAGTCAGACTAACCGCGCAGCTGGGTAGCCGAGTAGGCAAAAACTGCAATTAAAAAGTCAATATTCGCTGGTTTAAGCTTCAGTGTGGTAGAGTTTACTTTAGTCGCAAATAGCGTGAGTGTTCAGTCGCTAAAAGCATAACACTTATCGTCAGTCCCTCTAACTTGCGGCCACCACACTAAATCTTTCCCTTTCTTCAATCTTCCTTTTTTCTCGCTCTCGCGCTTTTCAATAAAAAAAGGAAAAAAAAAAGAAATTGGAAACATTTGTAACTAAGACAAGGCGTGTAATCCGAGACGAGACATCGTGAATGATTTATTCGATAGGAGCACTCAAACATATTTGCATCAAATTATAAATCGTCTGCTTATATAAATTGAATACTTGCTGTTGAGGCTTTTTTGCCTGATTTTCGTGAAAAATTTTAATATTTCTTATGATTGTAAACAATTCGGATACATAAGTTCGCGTGCATAGTTAAAGCGAATCCAGAATTTTCCCTCGATCACAAAAATGTATATTTATTTTTATGCTATAGCAGCGACAAAATAGTTTTGGTTCCTAAAGACGTCTTTAATAATCGCTTTAAAGAGATTATCATCCGATATCAATATCAAGCGATAAAATATTTTTTACTTTTTATCTATAGTCTAGGTGGAGAAAATGTCATTTACAACATATGTATGAAATGAGCCTGAAAAACACTTTCTCTGCCCTTTTCGCAGCAGTGTATGTTGTATATGATGCGTAGAGTTTAATGAAGTGAACGTACTACTCGATGATGTGCGTAAAAACAGAAATACGAGATAAAGGAAAATAATTAACTACAAGTTGAAAACATTTGCGTAAACATTGCTCATGATTCTTGACTAGTTAGTCGAATAATAGAAGGAACAGCAGTTGGTCTAAAAGTTTTCGAAATTTATTATAACAAAAGCTTAGATGATTACGAAACGTGTGAATTGCAAATACAATTTAGTAATTTATGCCAGCGTTTATCTAGAAAAAAAAAAAAAAACAACAATTGAAAACATTGTAAACGAGCAAACCTAACTTTTGAATACTCTACACCACTCCGCCTAATACGGTTTTTACATTTATTTTCGTAATAAAATATCTTGTTTCGATCTAACGGCAGAGCAGACGAGGCTCGCGTGAAATGTGGATTACGTTAGATAATCTATTCAATCTATTTTGAAAATGATTCTGAATCAACGAATCGATCGAATTAAAGACGATGAGCTCATCTGAAATTCTGTTGTGTGAGACAAACAATCGACAAACAATTTATTCTATACTATTCAACAAATTATGTATGGCATGAAAATTGCAAATAAACAAACAACATTTTAAGTCATTCAGCATATTCGGGAAAAGCAGCGTATGAAAAAAAAGGCTCCTTTAGCACTCATTGCGTATGTTATGTATAAACATAAATAATAATTTTTTTCTTACGATCGAAATGTTTGCATTTTATTTATTTACAGTTACGAAAATGTTTACAATATAAACACATTCATTTTAACAATAATCACAAGCTCTGATGACCGATCGCGATCATCACTATCATTATCATCGATGATGATTATAAACATTATTTCTGAGCACTAACTTGCTCAGTGATTAATTCCATTGCATATCGATTTTGCTTACATATATGTTTAC